CCAGGTTGCTCCAAGCCCCATCCAACCTGGCCTGGAACACTCCCAAGGATGGAGCAGCCACAGCTGCTCTGGACAACCTGTGCCAGTGCCTCAGCACCTCACAGGGAAGAGTTTCTTTCTGATACGTAATCTAAACCTCCTCTCTGTCAGTTCAAAGCCATTAAACCATCACCCTCCCTTCTCATCACTCAGAAAAAGCTGTTTCTGTTTTTCCTACTGATCAACTCCCCTGTCACAGCAGAGCTGTGATGGTTTGGAGCACACAGAGGCATGGCCTAAGGTGTTTGGGGTTAAATCACATCCTCTCTGCACTCCTCATGACTTTGACAGTGACAAAGTTCAGTCCTGTATCCTCTCTGGCCTACAGTTCTGTGAGCTCCAGGAGCCTCTTTGAAATTCAGGTTTAATATTTCACAATTTATGCAGAGAGAATATTTTGGCTTTCCTATCAATACATTTCTGCTTGGTAACTCTCAGTTTGAATGCTGATTGTGCTTTGCATAAATAAACTAAATTGCAGCCCTTCTGTTTCATTGGTACTTTTTGTCTGCTTCCTCCAGGAACAATGTCAGGGAGATTGCAAGCTGACTACAATTCTCTTTCCTAAGCAAGAGGAAAACAACATGTAAGAGCCCAATCAGCACCAGTTTCCTGATGTCTGTTGGGTTTTATGAGCTGTTTTGTCCTCTGGCATTTAACAATTTCTGTTCATTTGGTTCCCTTTAAGAAGGGAATGTAACAATTGCCACAGAACTCGGCACCACTGGTGTCCATTGATAAATATGGAACAGGTATAACAACAAGCTTCTCTTTCCTTCCACTTAAAAACTCCCTGAGCTAACAAGTTCCTTGTGCAATGCCAAAGTACCAACAGGTCTGTGCTCTGGAGTTCCAACACTTGGTTTCCATAGGGAAGCTGCTGCAGCCTGTGTTTCACAAATAGGACATCAACAGTGGTGTCAGGCACAAAACTGCTCAGATGATCCACGCAGATGTCCCCTCAAAGTGCTGGAATTCAGTGCTCATTCCTCAGGGTGATGCTGCCACGTGAAAGCATTGCCTTGTGTCCTCTGCAATCACAGCCACTGGCTCACAAGTGGCACTTCCAATGGCCTGGAATTCTGGATGCTGCTTCACTGCTTGATTACAGTCAGGAGCTGAAAGACCAGAGGGACTCACCGTCTGCTATGTGAGAGACAGAGAGCACAAAATCCAGTCTGAAGGAACACACAGGCTGCTGCTGCCACACTCTGGGGGTTTCGCCCTCTGTCTGAGATGTGGCTCAAACAGGATTTTTCATGCAGGAATGGAGAACAGGCACAGACCCAGGGACCAGCAGGTCCTGCTGGGTCACCTCAGGCTGCTTGACCCAGTGTGGAACAACATCTCTATAGGCCACAACCTCTGAACCTGAGGGAGCAGCAGCAGAGACAAACCCTCTGCTGAAGGCAGGAAAACTAGAGCTCGCAGGCAGAAAAAAATACCAATCCAAGGCAGGAAAACATTGCCCCAAAGGCCTCTCAGGTGACATCCACACCTGAAGGATGTTTGTCTTAGTTCTACAGACTGATTGGATCCAGTTTGATCCTGTTCATTCCAGCTGGAGCTAGTCCAAAGGGGATTTACTGATCAAATGTGACCCAAATTGCGTAAAACCAGTTCAAACCAGTTGACACCAGTCAACACAACTCTTGATTCCCTAAGTGCCATGGATCAGGTCCCTTTCTTTCTCCTTCTCTGGAGTCAGCATGGCCAGAGCAGGATGGATGTGAAACAGTTTCTGCCTCTGATTCTCCTAAAAATGGACAAGTCCTTTGGCATCACAGGAACATCCAAGAATAAACAACCTCAGCCTTCTAATGGTGTCTGAAGATAACCAAGAAAAAGGATAATATACACAGTGTGTGTACAAACCCACCTGGATTAAGGATCTTTGGTTGAGAAACTGAGCTGTAAAATGGCAGAGAGCTAAAGGAAAAATGTAAGCATTTTCCAGCCATTAGGATAGGCTGAAGCACTTTTGGCTTGATCACTTCAAGGAAAAAGAGCAGGAAGAGCTACTTATCCCTCTGGATATCTGTATGTATCTCACTCCACATTCAACCCTGGTCTGACAGAGAGAGGTTTCCTGAACCCAAGGAACACACTCCCATCTCCCCCAGGACAAAAGTCAGGTACCACAAGATGGTTTATAAAACAGTCACAGAATTTATTGAGATAAATACAAAGTTACATAGATTCTCTATTCTGACAAACGAATGACACTGCCAGAGTGTCCCCACAACCACCACTGTGCACAGACACAGCTGCCCCAGCAGCACCTGACTGATGCCACCAGTGAGACCAGTGACACCAGTGAGGCTGAAACTGAAGCAACACGACCAACATGCTCTGGATTATTCCCTACAGCATCCAAGCAATATTGCACCCACCAATGTTCCTGTCAGATTCCTTAGCTAGAAATGTTGACAAGTGATATTGTTACTGTTGTGAAAGTGATCAACTGCCCAGCTTGGCTCCACTGCCTTCCCAAATACCTGTTCCTGCAGAATGCAGCCAACCAGGGCTGAGCACTCTGCTTTGCTCACTGCATCCATCTGGTACAAGACAAAGTGCAGCCTTCAGTCATGCTGAAGTCATTTCTAGTTTAAAACTACACCAAAAAGACAAACTCATAGAGGGCAAATCTGTTTAACAGATCTGCTGCCTACAGTAATCCCATCTACAGTGAGCCCACTAGTACATGCAACTGGAGATTTGGAGCAGGTTTTGAACACTGCTGAAATCATATCCTTCAAAACCAACATGAATTTGGGAGCCAGAGAGGGACTAAAACATTGTTACCACCAAACAACTTTGTTTAGTGAAGTTTTCTAGCTGGTGGTTTACTCTTTCCACACATCCCAATTAAAAACTCTCAGTGAACACTAACCAAACATGCTAAAACATATGGAAATTTGTGTTTTCCAGTGAATTATTGCAGGTCAAGGTAAGTATTCAGGATGATCTGACACACAGAGCCCTGGGGCTGGGTTAATGTTCAAGGTATTTAATTTATATACAGTATATTTCAAACATACTTACATATACACAGGCTTAAAAAAATCTGTTCAGTGCTGAGAAATTTAATGAACTGATAATAAAAAAACGGAAGTAAAACCTTTGTCAGAAAGGCCTTAGAAAATCTGAACTGTTAGAAAACACCAGTGTAATGCCAGCATTAGAAAAGGAGATCAGAACTAGAAAAACTTAACTTGAGGGATCTCCGTTAAGAAACTGCAATCATAAAAAGTCTGTACTGAAGAAACATTTGTTTTAAATTATTAAAAAAACTGTAAAAAAATTAAAAGGTAGAAGGTTGCAGAGTTTACAGCTCGCTGCAACAGCAGTGGTGTATCTCTGCCTGCATTAGTGATCTCACAACAAAACAGTTAGTTACAAATCCTGTACAGATATAATACATGACTAAACTTACACAGGGCTGAGCCCTCCCAAGTGCAGACCCAGCTGAGGAACCTACTCACTGTACTGCAGACAAGCCACACCAAAACCAGTCACTGCTGTGAGCCTTCACCCAAGTGAACTACTTACTAAGGGCAGGTGAAACAGGGGAGTATTTACACAGGTCTGCCCAGGACACAGCACTGTGCTCTCAGAAGTCACTGCTAGCTTGTGAAACCATCTCTTTAGTATTTAAGCAATAGTTTTTGAACAGGACAAAGTTAAAATCCACAATATAAAAGACTGTATTTTGTTCTAGGCCATTATTGCAGATTTGGGATCCAAGACAAGGTCCAGGAAAGCCTTAGCTTTATCATTTTCCACTGGGCCAAAGCTGTCCAGCCTTACTAATACTGCTCTGCTCTGTGTATTTTTTCTCTCTTCCGACTCCTGTCCCAAAACACAGAAGACTTCACACCTCACCTTACAGATCTCACTAACTTCACCCATGTCTGCCCCAAACCTTACCATACAACCCACAGAAATGAGGAAGTACACTGTCCCCACCCTTCCCTGGAACATGTCTGATTTGCAGTTTGTACAGCTCAGGTCCTTTGTTTCTTAGGAAAAGCTGTCTGGGATTTAACCACTGGGCAGGTTAAAAGGTGTGTAGGTAAAACAGTCCTGTACAGTTCTGTAAAACTCCTGTACAGATACTGCACATGTGGCAGGAACTGAATCCCTTCACTGAGGTGACTTTGCTAGGGCAGAATGAGGAGTTTCCCACTTGGGAAATTTACAGTCTACCTGCCCCTAGCAGAGGCAGCAGCAATGGAAACAGACCTGTTAACACCTCAGAAAACAAATCAGTGGAAACATCACACTATACAAAGAATCATGAGCTCTCTGTGCATTAAAAAGTATCACATTAAAAATGATCGATGCCTGAATTCTAGCAGACAAACTACCTTAAAAACTGAAATGATTTTTGAACTTTTGCCACTAATACAGAATTAAGTTCTTCATAACCTCTTGTTACAATTCAAAACTATTCACATATATACACTTTTTTTCAAAGAAAAGCAATAATTGTGACAATACAAAAAAAACATAATGAAAGTGAGGAAAGAACATCTTTGTGTAAGTTTGATAAGATTAGGTTTTAGGATTTAGAAACCATTTTAAGCTTGGAGCAGATTTGGACTACTAGAAATGGTAAGAAATGAAATGTGAATTCTAATTACACTGAAACTCTGAGTGTGGGGTGAGACTTTACAGACAGTACTGAACTGCAGAGATCAGTTATCACTCACATTGACCAAGGGAAAACCAAAAGGAATTACTGGCATCAGACAAACGCTGCTGGAATGAAACAAGAATGAAGACTGTGACACTTCTCACCAGCACCTTTCCTGCTCAAAAAGGTAACCAAACCCACCTGACTTGTATGTGTTATTCACACTAACATGACCAGAAGGTGAACAACTGTTCTGCTGTTCACCCTTGCTGCACAACACCACATCAGTTCTGTTTCTCAATGGTAGTATTGTCCATGTTACCCTGTTTTAGTTTGATGGTGGCAAAGAAAGACACATCTTGATCTCTGTCAGATTGCAGGGCTAGAATGGTCTCTTCTGCAGCTTCCAGATGAGGATTGCCCACGCTTTTAAAATAAGCTGGAATGAGAAGGGGAGAAAAAGGACAATTTTAATCAAAGGCAGAAAATAAACCTCAGGGCATAAGTAGTGGAGGATGCCAAAACACTTGGGGCAGCTTATCCAATTTATAACATCCTCACAGAAACTACAGGGAACTTAAGGAAGTTGACAGAGAAATATGCTGCATCTGACTCATCTGATTAGGTACCTAAATACTTCTAAAACAATTTCTCTCTGCTCATTTATCAACAAGTAAAAGCTGGGGAAGCTGCCATTGTACAATGAATTCTAAAACATTCCCCACACTTCACTCTGAAAGAAGATGAAGAGATTTCTGTGCATCTTCCCTTGAAGAGCCAGAGATCAGCTGCTTTTTGTTTGCTCTTAAGGAACTGTAATACAGGACACTGTAGCAGCACACAGCATTACATCCTTCCCCAGTACAACTGTGAGCTGAAGGCTAAAATGATCATTTCAGAAAGCAAATCATTTCAGAAGGGGTAACACTATAACCCTTCACCCGAGGGCCCCAGAGACAAGCACCTCGTTAGCATGAAGGTTTGAAATACATCACAACCACCTAACGTTGTTTAAGAACGCGTTTGCCACCCGACGATCCCGAAGAGCCTGCAGCAGCCTCGAGGCTGTCGGCGAGGCCGCACTGCCCCCAAGTGGGTCAAACGCGGCACCTGCCGCATCAGCACAACCGGCTTCATCCCATATTCCAAGGCTGCAAAACCACTCGAGAGCACATTCCTCATAAAATCTGAGTTTAACTACAGCATCCCAGATTTCAGTGCAGGATTCTGTACTCAGTGCAAAGAGAAGCAAAACGCCTGACACCAGCTGAGCTGGCAGAGGAGAGCCAATGTTCCCGAGGTGCTGGATCTCTCCAGGGAGATCAGTGATCACACCTTTCTCCAGCAAGGTCTGCCTGAGGGCCTTGGCGAGCAGGACCCTGACGTTTGGCACAGGATCTGAAGCAAGGCTGAGGAGACTGGGGAGTAAGTGTTCCACAAACTGCTCCACGGGCATGCATTCTTCTTCCACCACGGCCTATGGCACACACACAACACAAGAAAGCAACATTTACCTTAAAAATACACTATTGCCCATTCCTTTCCACCTTGGCCTTAATTTGGCCTATTAAAACCAGCTCCGAACTGTTCTGAAACACTCTCAGCTGGAGGCAGTGACCCAAACAAGGACACAGCTTCAAAGCTGTGTGCAGCACTGAGACCAGACCAACTGCCATTGCCCTTTCTCAACCCAAAAATAACAAAAGTAATTGAGACACCAAATTTCAGGCTTGCCCACATGACTGCAAAGCCCCAAATTAAATGTACACATAGAAATAGAGAACATTCCCACCTGACAAATGAAGGCAAAGGCTTGTCTGCCAACCCACTTGGAGCAGTGCCGGAACCTCACCACGAGTTCATTGATGAAATTTAACCCCAGAGCATTTGCATTGTTTGCATAGAACTTCTGCAGGATTGCTACAACCTGCGAGGCAAAGAGGGGAGGGGTAAAAAGAGGTGAGACTTCAGTGACAGCCCTTCAAGCTCCAAAAGCATCATTTCATTAGAGTTCTCCAAAGGGACCAAACACTGTTCAGTGCTTGCAGGTTTCAATAAATGACAGTGCTTGCCCTGGAGCAAGTTCAAGCTTTAGAAAAGCTCTTTGTTCACCTGAACCAAAAATCACCATTAAAATAAACTAAACCCCCTACCAGTTTGAAGGAGATCCACCGAACTTCGGAAACTTTATCGGAGCACAGAGTTAGTGCAATGTGTCTTAAGTAGTCATAGACATCGTTGGGATTGTAGAGCTCCAGGATCAGGATCAGCTGCCTGGAACACAAAAAAATAATAAATCATTGTCTACGAAGTGCAGCACTAACCTGCTCCAATTCCTCACCTGTCATATGTGGGGAATGAACATCAAAGCACCACAGTTATAACAGAGCACTTGGACAGTTTGTTCTCCTCACACATTACAGAGGTAAATGCTTTAATCCATCAAGGAGTCCAAGAGAAATTGTTATCCAAACTACATGTACCAATATGGCAAAATTATCCCAAATAATAAAAGCTACAAACACAAGTACAATGAGAAGACTTTTTTGCAACTTCAAACCAATATTCTGTACGTTCTTGTAAAGGGAAAACTGAGTATTTACCTCAGTGTAGAAATCTACAATTCAGACACTAATTTATCCCTCAGAGCCAGGCAGAGCTCACTGCAGCCACAGCTCTGCAGCACAGAAGCAGCAGCAGCCACAGCAGCATCTCCCCACTAGGTGTCAGGGAACTGCTGGGAACGTCCTTCTACCACACATTTCATTTCTTGTGCTTAACTACAGAGGGCAAGTAAGTCCTCAGCAGCCCAAACACAGCCACAAGATAAACATGAAGGTCAGAATTTAGCTGCAATCTATGCCTACAGACATTCTTTGGGTGCTTCAAATATCACCAGGGCTTGTAGAAAAAGCACTGTGGGATGTTACCCTACTCCATTATACACCCAGTCACAGAGAAACACCCAGTGAATAAACTTAGCTTTTAAGAACTGGTTTTTCTGTCTTACACAGTAAAAAAATGACTTCTTACATACATTTCACTGCTTTGTGCAAGGGAGTTCAGACCTGAATGAAATGTGACAGCTCACTGAACAGTCTCTATCAGACTGATGTATTTCGTAAACTGTGAGTGAACCACATCTCCGTTCTGGTATCATTACAGACATATAAGTTTCAGCCACGCTTGATTACAAAGTAACTTGCAAAAAGTAACCAAAAAACCACACCCCAAACTTCCCCAAAACAACCCCAACAAACAGTGCCCTTTCATTCAGCTCCTTACTAAGGAATGGTTGTAAACTTCCAGCTCCTAACCAGGATGTCCTAACTTGTGAACGTAGTCAGCTATTTCCAAGTTAGTGACACAGATTAGAAAGGAGAAGGGAACAAAAGGACATACTCTGCCAGTTCATAACGAAACCTCCAGTTCCTGCTGTTATCAGTCACCACAAACTCCTGAAGCTGGTAGAGATACTCTCGTCTCTTGTCTGCATGAAGGAGCTAAAGGAGAAACATTACAGTATGAAACTGATAAAACTCATTACCTGCACTTCTCTGGTGTGTTACTAGTCACACCTATTGCATTTTCCTACTTGAAAGCAAGTGAGCAGTGACAAAATGCTTCCTAAAATCTGTGCACAGTCAGGTCAGTGCCTGGACACACAGGACTGACTTCCAAAAAAGTCATCCTTTCTGCAAGGACAACATCAAAGCACCATCCCTGGTCCACCAAACCCAGGATTTGTGGTTATTACACAGCAGCCCACCAGGACTGCTCTCTTGCCCTCCAGCCCCAAAGACAAATTGCTCATGGACCAACTTTCCAGCTGGGCTGCACAAAATACTAATCCCCGTGTAACAGGTAACAACATTTACAACACATTTACACAGGGGTTTTAATTTTGGTATTTTGTTAGTACATGAGACAAAGAGAAGGCAGAGACACAAAAAAAAAGGAAGAGACACACAAAATGGCAGTACTAAACCAAACTAAACACTAATTAGACACTGATACATATGCATATTAAAAAACAGAGTCAGATAAAATTGTATGTGGAGAATTAATGGTACTCTCCTACCTTCAGGAAGTCATAGAGATGTTTGAGCACTCCGATACGCACTTCATCCAGATCTTTGAGGAAGCCATTGAAGATTGGCACCAGGTCAGCAGCTGTGAGCTGATCCCCCAGGATCACTGCCAGCTCATGGATGGAGAAGGCCAACGTGCGACGCACCTTCCACTGCAAACAAGGCAGGAGGGAACTGCATCAGGCACCAGAGCTAACGAAGAACCTTCTGAACTACAGCTGAGTGAGAACTGAGAGCAGAACAAACAGCTGCACAGTAGTACAAAGTGTTCATCCTACTTATGAAGCCTGATTTAAGTCTTGCATTTTATACTTTCAGTGCACATTCAATCTCTTATTAGAAATTATATGATATTGTAACTTTGGCGCAACAAACTGAACAGAGAAGCTCAATTTTTTGATTTATCACCAAACCACTTGGTTTTTACCTGTACATCTGAGGCCAGAGTCTCATAGGTGTCCTTGAGGCAGTGCCAGTTCTGCCTGCCCAGTGTCAGGGCCACGCCAGGCAGGCTGTAGGCACAGTGCTTGGCTATCTCAGTGTCCACAGTCTGGGCTCGAGCAGGGTCAGTCATGGACAAGTACTGGTCTAGCAAAGGCTGAGGGATGATATCCTGCAGACAGAGACAGTACAGCAGTGACATGCTTGAATTTAAGATAGAAAGAAAATACACCTGTTGGGCTACAGTTCTCTTGCTCCCAACCAGCTGCAACCAAAAGATAAAGCACAGCAAGACACCCCTTGTCTGTGTTACCTTTATAGGGGTACATGACCCTGGTAGTCGTGTGTCCTCATTAGGACAGAGCAGTCAGCAATGAACAGTCATTATCACTTTATCAAGACACTGCATCAAACCAAGCTGAAAATGTCTGTGCTGAAGATAAATGGTAAATCCAGTGACAAAGCAGTACAGTCAGTGCCTACCCTGGTTGCCTCTAAAGCACCAAAGAGGCAGCAGAATGTTTCCACCTGTCTCATTTCAAACAGGGTTCTCCTCAAATGCCACAGCACTCCTTCACATTCCACAGCTGATCAATTGCAGAAGCTATCACTGCATTAAGGGCAAGATAAACTGTTTCCAGTGCTCCACTAAAGCCATTAGATGCTACTTTAATCACCTGTAATTTTGACTTGTCATCTTCCAATGGTGGATTATTTTCTTGCCCTTTCCTTAAAAACACGCTGGTTCCTCTGTGTTGTTCCTCTGAGTCCTGTAAAAGGAGGTACTAGTTAGTGAAATGAACGGCACTTAGTGCTGTTTGGGGTATTTCAAAGCATCACTACAGAACAATGCAGCTCAGACTGAGAACAGCTTTCTACAGACACAGCCTTGCACAGGCAGAGCCTTGTTCAGGGTGTTTATGCAGGGACAAACAGAAAACAGTTGCACAGTGAGGCAAACGCTGAAAACCACAGCAGAAACAAGGACAGCAATCTAAAAACCCTAACTAACGTACACAATAAACCCAACACACACACATTTTGGATGGTTGCTTTTTCTATACTCCAAAATAGTTTTTATTCTTGAAATCCATTTAAATGAAAAAATGAGAGCTTAGCAGTTGCTCCAAGTCAGTCAATACCATGATAAAAACTTGTCACACTTTGTGCTGCTGGCAATTCCCAGACCTATCAAATTATGCAGCATACAGCTCTCCCCAAATACCAACAAAACCTTCAAAAGGACCAAAAGTTTAAAAGAACAAAACCACACAAAATTCCAAAGTGGACATAGTATTTTACATTTCTCTACATACAGGTTTTATGTGCAATTTCTGGTCACAGACAAGCTAAGCTTTTCTTTTTATTCCACCATTAGCTCCAGTAACATTAAATACTGTGCAAACAATTCTTTTACTCCTAACTGGATTATAATGAAGAAACAGTAACCAGGAACTGTGTGTGATTCTGATTCACACCTGATTCACCCTCCTGTCCAAAGATAAGTGACTCATTTTAGAATCATCACAGGAAGAGGTACTTGGAACATTTAATCTGAAAAACACCCCAGAAGACACTGCAAAACTTAACACTCCTGGCTCATGTGGGTGCAAACAGAAATGACAGCCCTCATAGCTTCCCTTTTTTAATTGAAGTAAGCAGTGTATGATAATGTAACACTCAAAGGCTTTGGATCAGAAGGTCAATTATGCCAGGGACTACAGGAACCCACAGAGCACTGATGCAGGTAAGAAATCATTTCAGACCTGAGCACTGTGTGTACTTACTGTGCTGTTCAGTGCACTGGTGGCAGACTGGTCACTGATGTTATCCTGGGAGGGAGGGGGTGAACAAGTGTCCTCCTCCACCTGGCTGCAGACAGCATCTGGAACAGCTGTTTCATCTGCAATGGTTTTGTTCTGAGGATTGCCACTGCTTTCTTCTGTTTTCTTGGTCTCACAGTCACCAACAGAATCAAACTGAGCAGCTCTGAGAGCAGCAGACAACACTTGGACCTGAGCTGAATAAAGCAAAAGACAACTTATTTAGTCTCCCTTCTGCATTCAGAACCATTTAATTTGCAATTAACTCATCTGAAACGATAAAAAAAGCCCAGTTTGAGCAGCACAGAAGTGGTATATTCACAAACATCTGCTCCAGAGATAAAAGGTCTATCACTGCAGAGCACTCGAGAGACTTGTGAAACAAGAAACTGAGCTGACTGTGGGTGACAGGAGGGATTTGGTCCAGGAAACACATATGGATCCCACTATCAGGCTATTATCCCTTCAATATGTTCAACACTGGGCCTGTATGGGATGGCTATGGAAAGACAACCTGAAATTAAGGCCATTCTCACACAGCCAAACATCAGATGAATTCAGCTGCTAACAGGCAGATCTGTTGCTAAAACCACAGTACCTACGGTACTTAGTTTTCACACATCTGAACAAGCTCTTTTCCCTTTTATAATTAGATCAATTTATTTTTTATGCAAAGAGAAGCAAAGAACTCTTCCCCAGCTGCTCTAGAAATAACTCAGGTCTTAGGATAAAGGGTGTTGCATAACCTTCTACAGTAATTTACTTCTGAAGGAAGGTTCATCCCCCTATGAACACAAAGCCAAGTAAACTGCAGTCAAGGGGTTTGTAAAGGCCAGGAGAAAACATGTCCCAGAGTCTCACCTTGAACATCTGGATCATCCATGTGCTCTTGTAAGCTTTCTAGAACTTTTTTAATTTCACTACTAGCAACACAGTTATTACATGGCACAGAGCAGCTACTGCTATGCTTCTCAGCCTTGACCTGCAGCAGCTCCAGCTCCTGACTGATATCAGGCAGAGGAGGTCGCCAGTACAGGAAGGTATTAAACACATCCTCAGACTGCAGCCTCGAGTGCACTCCAGGAAAACTGCTGTCCTGAGGGACTTCAGGGACCCCAGAGGCAGCTGTGTCACCCTGAGGCAATCGAGACACATCTTCTCCAGGGCCAGCACAGCAATCTGAACTTTCTTCCTGCATATCTGTCTTTAGATTCTCAGAGACCTTTGTGTTAACTCC